AGTAAAACAAAAAGATGTTCTATTTTAAGATTAGAAAGGAAAAACTTTTTCCACAGTGTAAAACAAAAATGAAAATACTGCCCATAAGATGTACAAATGTGATAAAGTACATTCACTCATTTTTTATGTTTTAGATATTTTCGAGCAGCTCTACCGATTATCCTCATTCTAACAGTTTTAAATTTATTTGTTTCGTTTAAATTTATTTGACAAAAATGCAAGCTAGAGATTTTTTGGTTCTTTGTTATTAGAAAATCTAATTGTTGAAATATATTTTAACAGAGTGAGATGTCAGTATGATAACAAAACATTTACGAAAAAGTATTTATTGAAAAGGTGGAAAAATTAAAAAATTATTTACAAATGAGTTTCTCATTCTAACACAACAAAATAAACAAGACAAATATAAAGATGAAATTAGAAACATTTTTAAAAATGGAAAATTAAATTTGATACTCGATATTCGTAACTATTTTGAATAGTTTCATTCTTCTTTTTTTAATTTTAATTTTTATATTATTAATGGATTTTATTTTAGGGTGTTTGTTATTAATATACGGGTCCAATGGACATCTTTGAAAAACGTTATTTATCTATATTTTTTCGATTTTATCTTGTAATTTATTAAGAAAACGTCATTAAGGCAAGTAGCCGAATGACGGAATAAATCACAATACCAATATTAATATGCAAATGAGTTAATAATATCTAATATTATTAGTCTATTTACATATTATAGCCACGAACGCCTTTGTAAACTCTGTACGGTATAATTTTTCTAATCAAAAACTCTTACTAGTTTTACTAGTTCACTATTCATATTCTGAAATAGTAATATTATTGAGAGATAAAAATAAGTTCGTGACGTATTCAAACATAATTGCCAATTATTCTGAGGCTCAACGGAGATTGTTGATGTAGATAAGAAATAGTAGAGGACCTAATATTGATTATACGACCTAATATTGATTACCAGGATCTACCTTGCTTGATATAACCTGTCGAGTTCCATGAGGAACTCCACAGATTATATCAATCAAGGTTACTTGTGATGCTACATTAACGCATATAAATTGATTTGACTCATTAATTAGTTTTTGAAGCGAATTAAAAACACTTCACTTCAACATACTAGTTTTTAAATAAAAAGATTATTTTTAGAAACTTTTAACTTAGGGAAGGATATGTACCTTAGTAAGTATAGGTGCTCGCAGAATTTTTTGATGTTTCAGATAAGACACTTTTGAAAACTGGGAAAATTCCAAGTTCAAGTATGTTCATGTCTATGGCAAATAAGGAGGCTTTGCAAAAATTGCGAAAATGAAGGTCTGGGAATTAAAACACCTTAAAACGTTTTCCCCCTGCCCAAACATAAAATTTCATTTAAGACTTTGGTAAATTATAAAAGTTATTGACCATGAAAAATTTACAAACCTTGTAAATTTTTTATGGTCATAACTTTTTTTAAATTTTACTAAATTTCCTTCTTTAAATATAGGAGTCACCTTTACTATTTTAGTTTTGTTAGGAAAAATTCCTAGCCTAATAGAACAAGAAAAAGGCTTTAAAAGTGTTTAAAAAAAAGCTTTAAAAATCTTTTATAACTATAAAATAGTTTAATAACTACCAATACATTGATATCATCTACATTTACTGATTGGTTGGGTTTAAGCATTATAAAAACGCATTCAAATTCAATTTTGAACCAAGTATTTTCAACAGTACAGAATCACAAAAAGAAAGTATTTTTCTAAAAAAGTTATTAAAGGTTTTGTATAAACCTTAACATCTAATTTAAATTTAACTTAATTCAACAAATTTTTACTGATAAATTACAAATGTGTATACTATTAAATAAACGTGTAAATAATGGTAAGTTTGTTTACAAAGTTATACTAATAATTAATTGGTACATTAAAGTACCAATCAAATCATGAGATTGTTCGTTAGACTTTTAGCACTACCACATTAATCAATAAGCTATTGGTACATGGTTGGTACATCAAAGTACCAACCAAACCTAGCTTTATTAATGCTTTTTTTATTACTTTACAAGATGTTGTATGTGCTGTAAAAAAATATGTGCTGCAAAAAAAATTTGTGCTGCAATAAAAATATGTACTGCGAACAAAATTGGCTGTGAAATTTTATGCTCCGTTATGAGATAAAAATGGAATGGAAAGAAATTTATAGGATTTGTTCATCTTTTAGAAGTTAAAAAAACTGGTTTTATTAGATTTTTGGCTGCAAATAAGTTAGTTCAAGGTATATTTTTTAAATGGGTGGGAAAAGAAGGCTCACCATTAAATTATTTATTCACATTTAAGCTAAGTCAAGACTACATTAATTCTAAATGCCAACAACTCATAGCTACCTCTTAATATTTTGTTCTTTTGTTAACTTCGAAACTAAAACAGCTAGACTGAAAATAAGTTCCTAATAACTTTTTATTGGGGAAAGAGTTTAATTTATTGGGAACAGAACCAACAATTACTGATCATGGTTATGCTAATGTTCCGAATTTCAGCAATCTAGATATAAAATGACTTCAATTTTGAATATTTCTAGATCTAGCTAAAATGACTTCAAAAAAAAGTTATCTGTATTAAATATTAGAATACATTAGTAATCCCTTGTCATTTAGTAATCCTTTGTCAATTAATAATCTCTTATTATTTAGAATGAAGTAGTTTTTTAAAATTCAATGACAGATGAGATTTAATTAAATCAAGCAAAAGTGTTATTATCATATATGAAAAAACTGAAAATGCTTGTTATTTAAGATCCTTGACTGATCTAAATGAGATTTTCCTTTTTATGTGAAATTGAAAGTCTGATAACACTGAACATCTCTGAAATCTCCGTAATATTTGCGGCAAAATGTTATCAAACATGTAATTGCATATTTTGGTGAAGTGTAATAAAAATTTTTAAGTCTGGAATTTTTTTTAAAATTATTGGACCATTAGTGGCAGCCACCAAAAGTTTTGAGCCGATGACTAGACACTATTAAGATGTCTGAAAGTTATTGGCATGTCGTTTATATCAGCTGCCACTAATGATCTACTAAGTAACCAATGAGCAAAACTCCAAGTCTACTGGATTTCATTTTCAATTAAATAATATCTCGCATTATCTGTTATTTTTGACCATGTAACATCATGATCAAGACCATGTAATATGATTTTTAAATTGAAACTTTGATTTTTTTGAATTTATTTTCTTAGAATGTACCCTACTTTCTGTTCCTTCAGATGGGTCAGCAAAGTTAATGTCAAAAACTTTGTGTAAACCTTTAGATGGGTCTGCAAAGTGTTAAAAGCTTTGTGTAGACTAAACTCTTCTGCGTCAATATTACATAACTTGTTGTAATGATTAAAACGCGGAGAAACACTTTCAAAAGCAAAACCCTTCGCTGTTTAAACATAGTAAAATTAATAAACTATTTGCGAAAAGAATTAATTGAAATGTCACCTTTACAAAAAAAGGTGGTTGAGGCGTTAACATCTACCCATTCCTTCCCTACACCCGCCCCTTCCCCCGCTTAACTACCGCGTGATGGTCCTTATAGAATTATCCCATAAATCTTTAAATACTTGTAGGTAGTTACATTCTTGTTCACAGTTCAACTTAAGAGCAAACTCAGATGAACAAGTTCTGAATACTTCATTTAAAAATAATTTTAAAAAGGATTTAAAATGAAAAGCAGCACAAAAAATTAAAAGTTTTAGTTTGCGTAGTTTTAACATTTAAACCATTTCTTTAAATTATTTTTTCTCTTAAATATTCAGGAAAGATTTTACATTGTGTAAACAATAAAATATTTTTAAAACGATATTTTAACATTTTTTTCTCCTGCATAATCTTTTTCTTTATTAATAACAAATATGATTTGAGGTCAAATTCGTGGTCAAATCTGCTAGCCAAATTAATTTAATATTTCATGGACATGTAATATTGTCATATATTTGTACAATCATGTTGATATGGCAATTAATTGGCGTGTAATATTGCCATATATTAATACAGTCATCTTGATACTTATTGACATATTTCATTAACATTTTGGTATCTTCTAAGCATTGCTAAAAAAGCACATCATTATTTAAATAAATTAAAAAATTGTCAACTTCACATAAAAATAAACTCAAGTCTAATATTTTTTAAATCATAATTGGACAGAAGTAAGTTTTAGCACTACCAAAAGAGTTTTGTGTATTTTACCGAACTGCTGCTAAAACTAATTTTTTTCTGGCATGCAATTGTTTAAAATTATGTTTTTGACTAATCTTTTCCACTGAGCTTTTTTCCTTCAGCAAGATTTGATTAATTTTAACATTTCAAAATTTCTTAAATCTTGTTTCTTTTCATTTGTCCTATATATTCTAATTATTTGGCTACAGTTTGACAAATGTTTTGAATTTTTTTCCAGAAAACGTTTGAACTTAAAATGTCTACTTCTACTTTCTGTGTCTACTTCTACTACTACTACTACTATTACTACTACTACTACTACTACTACTACTACTGCTACTACTACTACTACTACTACTACTACTACTACTACTACTACTACTACTACTACTACTACTACTACTACTATTACTACTACTACTACTACTACTATTACTACTACTACTACTACTACTACTACTACTACTACTACTACTACTACTACTACTACTACTAATACTACTACTACTATTACTACTACTACTACTACTACTACTACTACTACTACTACTACTAATAATAATAATAATAATAATAATAATAATAATAATAATAATAATAATAATAGCAATAATAAAAATGATAATAATAATAATAATAATATTAATAATAATAGTAATAAAAATAATAATAGTAATAATATGTTAAGGTTTGAAAAAAGGAGACAATTTTCAAAAATCTATAACTTTATGAAGTCAATTTTTCATTATTTACATTATTTAGCATTTAAATAGAAAAAAGATTATAAACAAGAAGTACAACATAAATATAAAATTGCTCTATATAACATTTAAAAAGTAAATAATTCATTTACACATTGATTCAAATTGAATTTGTTATTATTATTGTTTTTAATTTAGATAAAAACTTTGCCGTGAACAAATTAAACCTTGCAACAAAGTAATGTTCATTTTGAACTTATTTGCGGAGTCTTTTAGAGGAATTATATTTACCTCCTTTTTACGCTCACACAAAAGTTATTGCGCTGTAAAGTACTGCACTTGGTTCGGTTACAGTCTTCTTTAGTCTTATTTGACATATTAGTTTATAAAACTTTTATGCAAAAATTAACTGATTTTGTCCCTTTAAATTGTTAAATGACGAATGCCCCGTAAACTGAGAATCTTGAGGTGAAAGATTTTCAGGTGTGGAAGATATAACTGAACCTGTATGATGAGACATATATTGGTATGATGATGGGCGAGCGTAGTTTCCAATCATTGAAGACTGTTGGTAATGTGGGTACTGAGGATAAGGAGATGTAGATTGCGGACAGTATGGAGATTGAGCCCAAGGTTGAAATGCAGTATGGTGAGAGAGAGGAGTTGGCATTTGAGATGATACTGGTCTCTGCTGTGACTGAATCTTTGGGCTAGTAGAAATATGGTAAGGGCTTGAAACTTCGCCATTTGAACCATGTTGTTGTTGATGAACGTTATAACTTAACTTTTCCCGTTTTCTCCATTTTGCACGTCTATTTTGAAACCATACCTACAATTATGGCAAAACAGTAAGATAAAAAAATTTTATTGAAAAAATTTTTAACTTAAACATAAAATACAAACTATAATCTTTTATACACGGCAAATGTTTCTAAAAGGTTTGCATTCAACTGCTATGAGCTTTACTGAGAAAGTTTTTATGATGCCGTATATAAGAAACAATTAAAAAAAGAGTTTTAATTTGACAGATTGGATGAAGTAAATAACACGGCAAAAAATATATTAATTGGACGGCTTATCATCAAACAATCCGACTCGTAAAAACAAGCCGCTGAATTACGAGTTTATTATTTAAGCCTCTTATATATCGAAAAGAGTATTACTTAGAATCTATATAGCATATAATTATTATTATTTTTTTCAAATTTCCAGGTGTTTGGTAACCTTTTGTTGCCAAATAAGTTTCAAAACACGTGATTTAACTTAGTTTGTTTATTAAAATTTAAACGAGTAGCATAATCACACCAAATTTTTTTCATTCTATGTTGGTAGTGAGTTATGTGTATAAACATATCTATACTGTAACTGCTTTTAATAGGTTCTTGTAAATTATAGTTAATATAGTAAAAATTTATAAAATTATTTCTACTTTATAACTACTTTCAGTACCTGAACTCTTGCTTCTGTTAGGTGAACCCGAACAGCAAGTTCCTCGCGCATGAAAACATCCGGATAGTGTGTTTTATCAAATGCTCTTTCAAGTTCATCTAGTTGAAACTGCGTAAAGGTAGTGCGATACCTTCTTTGCTTTCGCTTTCCGTTTGAAAAGCGTTGGTTTTGATACTCTGCAAAAACAAAAAATAAATATATATTTTTTTATTATCTCTCCGCAGTTATTTTATTTAGTTATAATTTACCATGATTATTTAGTTCTCGCATGTTTACGCTGACACCATTTACTGCTGAGATGTACAACAGTTTAGATTAGTTTGGAAGGATTATTATTTACAGACTGTTCAAGCTGCGCATGGCATCACTACTTAAACCTTTTTAATTTTGCATAATGCTTAAATTTAAATGATTGCAATTGTAAATCACGTGACTAACTTAAGAACAAAAATGCGGAAAGTTCTTCCTACAGTTAAAGAAAGCCTTAATTGACCACGTGACAAATACAAAATTTTGTATAAAATATAAAATATAGTAAACATAAAAAAAAAGTTTATATTATCATTAGGACATTTATGCAAGTTTTTAAAAAATGCTTTAATAGTAGCCATGCGGATTATATACCATTAAACAGAATAAATAGATGCTGGAGACTTATTAACTATAAAAATGTTTGCATTACGTTGACATTGTTTTACTGCAAACTTAAATCACTTTGCGCTATAGGAGTCAAAATGCTCATTCGAAAGTGAAAAACAATTCTTAAATTTTTTTAAAAAATCAGAATACTTTAAACGATGCCCGCCTATTAATACAAGGAGGAGCAATCGCAGTTTCTTTTACATTTTCCCCTGCAGCTAACTTGCAGCTGTTTCCCAATAAATAATTTATAACCAGCATTTAAAGTGAATCTCTTTATTTGTCTCGATGTAACAAAAGAATCACTTTTATTTCTGGCAAACAAAAGCCAAATATCACATAGGAATCATAATGGATGGCAATAATAAGCATTGAATAATGGTGCATAGAAATTATATAAAATAGAAACAATAACACATTGAATTACACATAGATAAAACATAATATAAAAAAATAAAATATTAAAGTATACTTCAGAAAATGCAAAATAGTAAAATAAATAACTAATAATAATAAGATAAAAAATAAAAAGCCATAAATTATTAACATATTCATAAATAAAATCTTAAGAAAAGTAAAACTTTATTTTTATGCTTTTTAAGAAAAATATTAAGTGTCCCAAATGTGCGAGCTTTTTATGAAAATTATTAGTTGTCCCAAATGTGTGAGCTTTTTAAGAAAACTATTAGTTGTCCCAAATGTGTGAGCTTTTTATGAAAATTATTAGTTGTCCCAAATGTGTGAGCTTTTTATGAAAATTATTAGTTGTCCCAAATGTGTGAGCTATTTATGAAAATTATTAGTTTTCCCAAATGTGTGAACTTTGAAAATTTGTTTGATGCTATTTTTAACAAAAGCATTCCAAAAAAAATATTTTAATAAATAGTCATAATATATGTGAAATAAATAAAATAAATTGCAAGCAACAATTGCACCAACAACAGTTAAATATTTAGTATTTTGTTACAGTTGTTGCTGCAAATCGCCCAAAAAAAAGAAAAGGAAAGACTAAACAGTAGATCGTAAACAACAAAATAAAATAATACACTACCTAAAAGCAATAATATGCGCTACAAAACGAAAAAAATTCAGCCTTACAGATATAAATATATATATATATATATATATATATATATATATATATATATATATATATATATATATATATATATATATATATATATATATATATATATATATATGTATATAATAAATACTTCTACCTTCCCCCTTGATTTCTTTAAAGTCAGAGAAATTACTGTTCTCCTCTTGACTACTTGGCAGCATACCTAACAAAGTCATTATCTGGCTTGATGAAAAACAGTATTAACTTGCTTTGGCTTAGTTTGCGTAAAATTTGTTTATTTTATATATATGATTATATATATATATATTTATAATCGTGCGAACTTATATCCAGCCAAGGTGACTCAATGCAATATAACAAGACAGTATCGAAAGATATATACAATAAGTTTTTATTCGGTTTAGAGGAAGCTGTATCAAAAACTGGTCTTTGAATCGATTCACCGTCTTTTGTAGTGTTAAATGTTTCCAACAATGACTTATTGTTTAATACTATTGAAAATGGTTTCAAAGCCCGTCTTCAAAACGCTGATTTGAAACGCGTTTTTATAGCAGAGTCTATCTAGAGCTTTTCATTTATTTATCAGTCTATTTTTAACAGAAACGGTGCGATTTCAAAGAAAAGTAGCTTTTTTAAAATTTATTATATCCAAAAAGATTTTTTTTAAATGGTTATAGTTTTATAACAAATATTTCTATTAATCATTTAGATTTCTGTTTGTACTCAAGAAACTCTAAATTTTAGCAGATAAACTGTTGATGAATTTAATTGATGATTTCGTTTAATTAAAATTTTACAACATATCCAAAGTAAAAAACAAAAATAAACAAAATATTTAAAAGTAACAGTATTAAGTATCACAAAAGTAATCAAAAGAATTTTTATTAAGAAAAAATTTAAATTGATAAAAACTTTTTAATATAAAATTAGTTATTAGAAGCTTTTTATTTAAGGAGAAGGTTTTTATTTAGGTAGCTAGTATAAATTTTGAAGAGGGTGAGCTTGAAAAAGAGTGGCCGTTTAAAAGTGGTTAAGCTAATAAAATCTTCAAAAAGTTTAAAATTGAATACAATATCAATGAACTTTTTTATAAACCTAATGAAAAAAAATTTCGGCAAAAATACATAAATCACATTGGTTTTGCAATGCTAATTTTTGTTCAAAACATACTCATGAGGGATTTTCTATGTGTTTAAAAGAGAAAAAATTGATTTTAGGTCTCGGTTCAAATATATATATATATATATATATATATATATATATATATATATATATATATATATATATATATATATATATATATATATATATATATATATATATATATATATATATATATATATATATATATATATATAATATATATATATATATATATATATATATATATATATATATATATATATATATATATATATATATATATATATATATATAATATATATATATATATATATTTTTTTTGTATAATAATAAACAACTTTTGTTTATTTTGAACGTGACCAATATTAAGTAAAATAAGCACAAAATATATAACAATTGATATAAGGTTGAATTAAAAAAAAATAAATAAACTTTAGATGGTACTGATGGTACTTAAAGTTTAATTTTTTTTTTTTTCTTCTTCTTCTTCTTGCACCCATCAGCTATATATTTAAATAAAGGAAAAACCGTAAAATCAAAAAAAAAAAAAAAAACGGTTTAGTGATTTCTTACTTCAAACAATATAAAGAAAAAAATTATTTAACAACCACTAGTATCAACTTAGCGAAGGTGGAATTCTTTCCTAATTTAATTGTGCTTTTTGGATTTTTTTTTATTTAAATATGTTTGATGTTTAAACCAATTAAAACATTTTTTTTAACAAACTTCTTTATTTATACATATAAATACACACTCCACACACACATACACACATATTATATTGCATGTATTATTATTTATTATTACTAATAATGTTTACGTAAATTTCCTATGCATATTATTTTATTAACACCGTGTGTTTACAAAAAACAAAAAAATTAGTAATAATAATCTTAAACAATAGTGAAATCAGCCATGAGTTACTACAATTAACCACAACTACTAATCAAAAAATAATCGCAAGTTAATTTTTTTATCCAGGGCGACAAAAAAAATGATCACAAAATCATTTTTTTACTCAAGGAAACATAGTTCTTGCAACATAATCGAATAAAATTCTTATTTAAAAACAGAATAATAACAGACTAATAAATTTGTTCTAGTTTGTATATCTGCATTTATCTTTACATATATACGTTTATCTTTAATTATATTTCAAAACATTTTACAATAAATTTTACTTTCATGATAAACTTTTGGGCCTAAGTTATTGTAATAGTTATTATTTAAATAACTTCCGATTATTGTTGTAACAATAAATTTCAAGCAACGGCTAATAATTATGTCAATGAAAAATATGAGAAAAATTAAATTAACAAATTAAGATACGAGATTACCACAAATATAAGAATTTAATTTTCTAGATAAAAACATACCTTCGGAATTCAACAACGAGCCGTCGTGTTTTGCATCAACATTGTGAACCCCCAGGGAAATACTGTTGTGTACTTGTATAACTGTTTGAAAGTTTTGTTTTTTTATCATTTTTCAAGCGTTTTTAGAGAACCGAGAAAGTTTATTCACATATATTGCTCGTATCTTATTTGATGAATAACCAGATTATATGTTGCTAATTATACGTCTGGGTAGGAGAGATTTTAAGACCTACTTAACTAATTTTTTATTAAAAAAAATTGTTTATTAAACACAAAGTGTGGTCTTCAAATCAATCTTAGAAAAAATTGTTTTTCCAGTTAAATATTTCCTCTCCTTTTTCTTTTAATACACTAAAACTTTTTTTTGCCTAATATGTTAATAAAAAACTCAAAAATACTAAAATTTCTTTAAAAAAAAAAAAATTAACGCGCAATTTAGTATACTTGTTTCCATGGCTATTTTTAATTTCATTTTAGCACATTTTGCTATTATAATATACATCAAAATTGATTACCATATAATTCTGAAAATATTTTTATAATATTATCTTTTCTTATATTTATTATTACTATTATTGTTTTTATTGCTGTTAATATTACTATTATTATTATTATTATCTTGGTTATTGTTATTAATATTTTTATTATTATTATACGTATATATAATACTTTGTACTGAGCTTTTCTGTGCAATTAAAAGGTACTGTAAGTACGTTATATATGTATACATACATACATACATTACATTACATTACATTACATTACATTACATTACATTACATACGTACAGGACCATCCCGAACAGAGATGTAGAGGTGTTCTACCCCCCAAAAGCTGTTATATATGCATTTGAGTTAGCACACTGGTACATTTAACATTATTTATTTATATAGATATATTTGTATAGATGTAGATATTACGCGATATTATGTATTACATATTTTTACAAGCATTACATCTTTTTTATCTTTTTTTTATTACTATTATTTTTTTTAACGTAAATAAATATTTTAGACTTGACCTTTAAACAAATCTTTTGTTTAAGTTTTTCTTTGGTAAAGAATTGGTTTTTTTTTATTATTATTACCGCTGTGAATTATTAATAAAGCATTATAAAAAAACGTTGGTAAAGCGTTTGACGCCTACTGCATAGTGCCGCACTAATCCGCGTTTGACACCTTCGTCGTAAACTTTTCCAATCTGCGCAGTGGGGCTAAAGATTAACATGCTCAAATATGTTGAATAGATGAACAATAGTCAAAGATCGAGGTTTCTTATAGTAGGAATGAAATAAAATATAATATTTTTAACTTACGTCATTGTTTTTTATAATCTGATTTCTATACCATTCTTATTATAAAGGAAAAAAAGAAGCCACCGTTCTTTCTGTTAATGACAACTTAAATAAAACAATTTCTTTTTTGATAAAAATTCCTTATCAATTATTAAATATACTTTTAAAAAATCAGAAGTAGTAACAAAATCCAATATTGATTTTATTTTTGCTCACCTGAGATAAACAATACTTTTTTTTATTAAAAGATGACTTTAAAGATAATCAATCCTTTTTTACTTGTTTAATCGCGTGCCATCTAAGTATTATTTAGTTTCACGAATGTTGCAAGACGTCAACAATAATTTGTCATCCTCATGGCTAATCCAATCTAATCGCAATTGTCGCTTAAAAAGAATCTGCAAATCTATTTTAGGGTAAACTGTCATTTAAACAACAAAAGCCGCGCGCGTAATTTTACCGACACAAAGTTCACAGGATTAATCCAAAAGGGCTAAAGCATTTTTAATTTTTGAGACACTTCAAAATTGAAAGCAAAAATGTACAACTACCAATGCAAATACTAAGGAGCAGTGGTTAAAAGCAAAATTAGAAAACTTCGTACAATCTAAGCAAAATGAGTTGCTTCTAAGGTTTTTCGTTTCCAATAAATTTTACATCCCTGAATAATTATTTTGCCCTAGGATTTCCTGAAATCCCTGCAAAGAAACCTTTTTTTAAAAAAACCATAATTTAAATATAAAAAGACACAAACAATCCATTATTGAGAATATGGATTCTCTCTTTCTAGTTCAACCAATGTCGGTGTTTTTTGTTGATTTTTTTAATTCGAACATAGTTTTATTTAAAACAAACATCTAAATATTAGCATTATAAAATCCGTTAGTAAGAAGAACAGTTTAGATTTTTTTTAAAATTGATCTGAGTGGTTTTCATTTTATTAAAAACATCTGAAGATATTTTTTATAAATAAAGCTCAAGTTACTTAATTGAGTATGAGCTCAATTGCAAATTTTAATTATTTTGGCAAATAAATATAGTTATATTATATTTGGGAGAAATAAGGTTGTTCTATGAAATTCATGTGACTTGATTAACATTAGTACTTAGTAAATGTTGTGTAAACTTTTGTTACGCTTTACAATTTTTTTTTTTTTTTTTTTTTTTTTTTTGAGTAGGAAATCTTTCCTAAAGCTTCTGTTTTTACTCGTTTGAAATTACAAATAGTACTCATTTGTGTTCAAGTTATATTTGACTTTACAAAGAGTACCCAGTTTGTGATCAAGTGACATTCGACATTACAAATAGTACCCAATTTGTGTTCAATTGTCAAATTAATAAAGTAATAATGTATATATGGAACTTAATATTGGTTGTAAATTAATATTTGGTTAGTAGTTAAGAAAATACGTAATTTAAAAACTATGGTCAGCCTTTATGATAATGACAGTGTACGCCTATTATGCTGTACTTTTTCATTAATAAATTGAAATCTGAAAGTATATTTATAACCAAATTATTGACTTAAACCGCAGTAAGTAGTTGAGAAAGTCTTCTCCAGTCTCCCAAACCTTACGTTTCCCAAACGTCTTTAATAAGCGTAAATTTATAATTAAATAATGTTAAT